TACCTCCTGGTCAGGTGTCTCCCTCAACTCCTGTAAGGGCCCCCAACACAGCTCCCCACCCCGTGGGGTAGCTGTTAGTTTGACTTCCTGTATCTTAGGCTCCTCAGTATCCACAGGGCCCAATGGCTGTCACTGAGTGGGCCAATGAAGGCTGTGGGGCGGCTGGGCAGACTCAGTACAAAGCCATAGAAAATCAATCTGTGAAAACACCACTGTGTGCTGGACTCTTTCTTTGTTGTGGCTAATCCTACAATAAAATGTTGGACGGGCATCCTATTTTCCCCGTGTTACAGGTGAGGAAACTTAAGTTTGTGGAAGCTACCGCTACCACAGTGAACATAACAGCATCCCCCCAAATTCATTACCATCTGGGAGCTCTGAATGTGACCTTGTCTAGAAATAGTCTTTGAGGTGTCGTTAGCGTGGGTCCTAAATAGGATAACCAGTGTTCTTGTAAGAATAGGGCGCCTGGGTGGTTCATTTGGTTAAGTGGCAAGCCCCACGATGGGTGTAGAGATTACTAGATGGGTATAGAGATTACTTTAAAAAGAGGGGCGGGCACCTGGGTGGCTCAGTGGGTTAAGCATCTGCCTTCGGCTCAGGTCATGACCCTGGGGTCCTGGGATTGAGCCCCATGTCAGGCTCCCTGCTCAGCAGGGAGCCTGCTTCTCCCTCTCCTGATATGGGAAACAAAGGCAGAAGAAAAATTATTACATTTCCTTACAACCTGTAGCCCATTGACAAGTCCTTGAAACAGGCAGAGTGACATTCCTCTAGGGACTCAACTGCCTCAACGTTAATACTTCGCTAAGGGCAAAAAGCAGTCCTACCCTCACCACCCCCCAACCCCACCACCAGGATCCTATAAGTCTACTTTAACGCACAAAAGTTCTTTTCAAAAATTCCTTTAGCTCTAAACCCCCCAAGATATGTTTTGGCAATCATCCCCGAAGCATATGGCCCACGGATACACTTCTGAAGTGTCTATGGGTCTATTCAAACTAAGGTTAATAAATTACCTTTTCCCATCAATAGCCAGCCCCCCTCAAGGTCCTGGAAACTTTGCTTCCAAAATTCCTTAAAGACTTAGGTTCCCCCTCACCCCCTCCCAACTTGAAAGTCTATAATGGGCCACTCCTCATGACCCCGGTACAGCTCTTTCTACCCACAGGTCCTATCCCTGTGTTTTAATAACACCACCTTTTAGCACCAAAGATGTCTCAAGAATTCTTTCTTGGGAGTAAATGAAACAAGATGGGATTGGGAGGGAGACAAACCATAAGTGACTCTTAATCTCACAAAACAAACTGAGGGTTGATGGGGGGTGGGGGCTTGGGAGGGGGGGTGGGGTTATGGACATTGGGGAGGGTATGTGCTATAGTGAGTGCTGTGAAGTGTGTAATTCACAGACCTGTACCCCTGGGTACAGGTGATTCACAGACCTGTACCCCTGGGGATAAAAATATATTATATGTTTATAAAAAATAAAATTAAAAAAAAAAAAGAATTCTTTCTTGGCCGTTGGCTCTGAACCCTAACATCGTCTTTCCTACATCATCTCCCTCTGACCCTCCACCCTGCTCCTTCCTGCTCATGCTCCAGTAGACCTCTCTCTCAAATGAGTAAATAAAGTCTTTAAAAGGGGGGGGGGCATGTGGAGAGGGGCACCTGGGTGGTGCAGGTGGTTAAGCATCCAACTCCTAGTTTTATCTGGGTGGTGAGCTCCAGATTGTGGGATCAGACCAGCTGGGCTCTGGGCTCTGGCGAGTCTGCTTGAGAATCTCTCTCCCTCTCCCTCTGTGTCTCCCTCCTCTCTCTCTCTCTCTCACACTCTCTCTCAAATAAATAAATAAAATCTTTAAAAAGAGAGAGAGAGGGGCACCTGGGTGGCTCAGTTGGTTGAGCGACTGCCTTCGGCTCAGGTCATGATCCTTGAGTCCCAGGATCGAGTCCCACATCGGACTCCCTGCTCAACAGGGAGTCTGCTTCTCCTGCTGACCTTTCTCCACTCATGCTTTCTCTCTCTCATTCTCTCTCTCTCTCAAGTAAGTAAATAAAATCTTAAAAAATAAAATAAAATAAGAGAGAGAGATTTATTTATTTATTTGAGAGAGAGAGAGAGAGCACAAGCAGGGGGAGTGGGAGAGGAAGAAGCAGGATCCCCGCTGAGCAGGGAGCCCGATTCGGGGTTCAATCCCAGGACCCTGGGATCATGACCTTAGCCAAAGGCAGCTAAGCTGAAGGAGCTTAACTGACTGAGCCACCCAGGCCACCCTAAACGAATAAATCTTAAAAAATAAATAAATAAGGAAGTCCATTTTAGGAGAGACACACAGGCACAGGTAAGATAACCAGGTGACAACAGAGGCCCAGGTGGCAGTGATGGAGATGGACACCAAGGAATGCCAAGGATGCCAGTCACTGCCAGAAGCTAGGAAAAAGCAAAGGAAGATTCTTCCCTAGAGCCCTCAGGGGCACTGCAGCCCCTGCCAACCCCTTGATTTCCGACTTCTAGTCTCCAGAATTGTGAGGGAATATGTTTGTTGCTTTAGGCCACCAAGTTTGTGATCATTTGTTCCAACAGCCACAGAAAACTAGTAACAGCCACCTACTTTGCCTATGTTCGTATACCCTAAAAAGGACAGGTACAGAGGATTCTGATCAGTCCTGAGCCTCTACCTTTGTCCCCCTCCCTCCACCATGGGGATTCCTGGCCCCGCAGCAGGCTTATAACACATGCCTATAGAGCCAGCTCCAAGAGAAACTGTTTCCATTGAGGGTTTGTCTGCTTCTTTCTTCCTAGTGAGTTCCCAAACCATCCTTCATCCTTCTTTGGCATTGCTGCCAGAAGGCTTGTTGTCACCTGGCTACTTGCTGAGGTACCATAAACTTGCAGGTACCAGGGCTTAGATTCTCCCACTAAGCAGATGGAGGAGAGGCCCAAAGCCTGAGGCAGGTCCGGTTCCAACCACATCCCTTCTCCCCTTCTGCTGGATCATCCGGACCATGGCTCCCTGTTACTCCAGCTGGGCCACCACGTGGAGTGGGCAAGGGTGTGGGAAGCCAAAGATGTGACTGGTGCTGCTCCTTGTCTCCACGCAGGCCCCACCTGGGGCCCAGGATGCCCCCAGGAAGGCCTGGGGTCCGGCTGTGTCCTTCCCACCTGAGTGTCTGGCTCCCCAACTTCACGCCTCACTGGTTGCCCCAGGGACCTCCATATCAGCCCTAGCGGCTGGGAGGGTGATCAGAGCACATACCCGCCCCCCACCCCTGACCCACCCACCCAATGGGGTCTCCACAAACAGAGACCTACTGAGTAAGGCAATTCCAGGGAGAGAGGCCTTTACTTAAAAATACATGGAGACTAGTAAGGAGAGATGCTGCCCCCCCACCCCCCGCCACGCCTGAGAGCACAGCTCTGTCTCGGGGGCCTCCTGCCCAATTCAGTTTCGTCCAGAAACACTCCCTAAGAGCCAACTCGACCTAACCACCCCCAAAGGAGGCAGAAGGAGGCCCATCCAGGGATCCAGGCCCAGACGCCACCTCCCTCTTTTTCTGGGAAAATGTCCTCCAGGAATCTCTCAGCCAAGAACACAGAGAGTGGGGTGGGACCTCAGAGGTGGGGCTGGGGGCAGTTCTCTGCTTTCCACGGGACTCCAACTCTGAGCACCCCCGCCTGCCACTGGCTGCGTTGCCCCCTCCCTCCCCACCCCCCCACACCCCCACCTCAGCTTTCTAATGTTTGAGGGGACAATGTCCAGGCCTGGCTCGGCCTCTGGAAGGATGTGGTCAGGATTTGGGAGACATCCCAGCTCTGGGTCCAGCCCTGAGGATGTAGAGGAAAGGGAGGGGTTTCTTACCAGGCTGCCAGCTCTGGACTGGGGTCTCAGAGGTCGCTGGGGCAAGTGGCTGCTGCTTAAGTCTCTGGTCCCGTCACCACCACGTCAGGTCAGCAACAGCGCCTGGGCCCTGGAAGAAGGCAGGCCAAGCGGTCATGCAGGTTTGCCAGGAAGGAAACCTGTGGTGCCAAGGTGGCCCCAGGACAATGCTGACTACAGAGGGGGGTAGTGGAGGCTGCTGGGTCCAGCTGGCAGATGGCAGGGGAGAAGGGGGCTCAGGATAGAAAGGCCCCAGGAGCAGTCCCAACAGGGGCATCCAAACAAGCAACAACAGGGGTCGGGGTTCAGTGGACAGTCAAGTGACAAGGACACTAAGCTGTCCTCTGTCTTGTACCAGGGGCTCAGCCCCGGGGAACCACAGAACCTGGCACCTTGTCCCCAGACACGCTCCTGGACGGCAATACTTAACCCAAAAGAGGAACTGAGTTTGCCCTCACTTACCATGTCCCCTCAGATGGCCACACCTCACCCCCCACATACCCTGTCTGTGCTCACCCCTCCTGCACCTGTCCTCTTGGGCTGGACACACCCTCTTTGCTGTGGGATTTGGGGGTCTGGAGCCCCAAATGTCCCCTACCCAGTGAATGTGAGGGCCCAGAATTTGGGGGCCAGTAGGGGAGAGTAGGCCCCCAAGAAGGCCCCTAGAGCTGGGTAGGTCCCTAGCTCAAACATGATCCCTGGAGGAGCCAGGACCCCCCCTCCTCACACTGCCTCCACACCCCTGTCAAGCTGGGAGACCCAAGCCTGGGGCAGGTGCAACTGACCCGCTGCCAGCCGGCCCAGCGTTAGCCCTTCGGGTTAACCAGCACTCTTCATTCCCCCAATCTCCCAGGCCTGGGTCACAGGGAGCCCGCATCACCTAGCCTGCCCACAGTTGCCCCCAGCCAGGCAGGGGGGGGTAGTAAATATTTGTCAAGCAGGAACATCTATGCTGGTGGACAGGTCAGTTACTCCAATCGCCCACTGCCGGGGAAATTCCTGAAGGCAGCTGATGGTACTGCCTAAGGCTGGCAACGGAATCCCCACACAGCCCGCCCTGACTCCGAGTCCAGTGCTCTTTGCACCACCAAAGCGACTGTTCCAACAGTCAGCACGGAGGCCATGGCCAAGCGCCACCTCGTCCGGCCCCGGCTCAGCGCCTCCCCCAACCGCTCCGGGCCCTGGCGACATAGCTCCGGCGCCCATTCCAGCGCGGGTCCTAGCGAGACCTCCCGAACCGAGTGTTTGGGAGCTCGGGGGCGGGGGCGCCCAGCAGGAACCTCCCCAGCCCTTCCACTGCTGCGGCCCCGCCCGGGCGCGCACCACCAGATCCCGAGCTCCCCACCCGCTGCAGCCCCGGCCGGGGCGGGGCGGGGCGGGGCCGGGGGCGGTGCGCAGACGGCTGGGACTCCCTCCAGCTCCGCGCCGGCAGCTCCGCGGCCATGGGGGCGCGGCTGGGCCGGCGGACCGGACCCGAGGCGGGCTCGGAAGCCGGGGCGGCGGCGGGGTGCGGGCCCGCGCCCTTTGAGCGCCGGGTGCGCTGGCTCCGCGAGATCCAGTCCACGCTCCGTGAGCGGCGGCCCGAGCGCGCCCGGCAGCTACTGCGCCTCCTGCGCCAGGCGAGACAAGGAGCGGGCCGGCCCGGGGCTGGAGGCCGGGGAGGGGCCGGGAGCCGCGGGCTGCGGGCCTGGAAGGGGCCGGGAGGTGCTGCGGAGCTGGCCCGGGGCGCGGGAGACAGGGCTGGCCCCAGACTGCGTGCGCGGGCCGGGAGGGTTCCGAAGGGAAGGGTGCGACCGGCTGAAGGGTCTTGTCTGGGCGAGAGGGCGAGGCACGGAAAGCAATGGGCTGGGGTGGAGGCCGGCGCGGCTGCGGGGGTGGGCTGGGGTCTGTGAGTGTGGAGACGGGGATCGTGACTGCAGTCCATCTCTTCGGGGTTGGAGAGGTCAGTTGTGTGTGTTGAGGGAGCCCCAAGCCTGGAGCTAAGAACCCAAATTCAGGCCTTGGCAGCAGAAGAGTAGGGCTGGGAGGAGCAGCAAGGGAGTGGAGGGAGGGGGACGACGTCTTGTACTGAGGGGCAAGGGGAAGAGGACAGCTCCTGGCTCCTCCAGGGTGAAGGGAGGCACTCACTGCACAGCACCCTGGAGAGAGGACCCCAGAAAGTGACAGCCCAGCTGGTCACCCGGTGCCACCTCACCGTGACATTATGGCAGCTACAACTCACACCACCCGTCCTCCTGATAGGCAGATCACGCCCATTGAGTACATACACCGGCATCTGTACATCACAACAGCACATCTGGACTTGGGTGGGGGTGGGGGGGGTGCACCTCTGGTCCCACACACACCTGGTACCTGAGCCAGCCTGGGGTGCCCTAGGAGACATGGATTCTGGTCCCAGCATCAACACTGGGCAAGCCACTTTCCTCTCTGGCCATGTCCCCATCCCCCACAGCAGCTGCTGCCCCAACATGCCCCATCCTGGAATCTGAAATCAGCCATGCGGGTGTTTGGCCTGCAGGTAGATGATTAGAGAAGGGAAACTGAGGCTTGGAGAACAGTGGCAAGCCTATGGCCACCAAGAAAATTAGGGGGCAGCTGAGGCCGGAGCCCAACCTCTAGTCTCCCAGCCCCACCCCTTGCTGCACTGAATTTCCTTTATCTAGGCTCACTGGGCTGGAAAGGTGGGGCTGGCCCTTTAAGAGGAGCTGTCCAGACCAGCAGAAGGCTGGCTGTGCGACTGGGGCCCTGTATGGGTCAGCTTGGGCTCACCAGCTAGCCCTCTCTTCTAGATCCTCCCTAGCTGGCATTTGTAACTTGAATGGTGTTTAAAATGCAAACAGCAAAGCAGCACCCAACCAGCTAGACCATCCAGAGGTACAGATCTTTGTCTGTGATGGTATCTGGAGCCCAGGGAGCCAGCAGGACATTTTTTTAAAGCCAGGAAACCAGCTATGTTGCCCCCTCATGTCTCAGAGGTCAGGATTCCCATCCAAAGAGGGGGCTGTCCAGCCCCACAAGCCGTGGGGACTCTGCAGTTATGGTCCTTGGGCCTTCCCACCTGGCCTATCTTCCTGTGCACAGGGGGCTTACGCACAGAGGATCTCACTCTCTGGCTTGGGGAGGACCCAGGGGTCTGGAGGCCCCTCCTGCCTGCACCTGTCCCATCAGCTTGTCAGAATATACTCTAAAAGGGTGTTCAGCGCCAGACCAGGCCTATGGGAGGTCTGAAGGACTGAAGGCAGGGAGGTCAGGTCAGGCCAGAGGCCCAGTGGTGAGGTCTCTGTGAGGGGTAGGAGACATGGAGGCCAGAGAAAGAGACTGGGGGGCTGGGGAGGGTGGGAAGGCCAGGCTGTGCCTGAGTCTCTAGTGTTATACGAGAGCATTTGGTCTCCACCAAAGGGGTTAAGGGTCGAGCTTAGGTATGTGTTTCCTGGAGCTGGCTCTGGCAGCCCAAGGGTTGGAACTAGGTGGCTCTTGGGAGGCAACAGGCCCAGGAGGAGGCTGTTAGGGAGAAAGGCCTGAAACTCCTTGAGCAGTAGGGAGGGAGAGCTGGGCAGAGAAGGGTGAGGGAAGAGTTCAGGGTGGTTCTGGGCTCCTGCTTGGATGGTGGGAATGGTGATGCCCTTTACTGAGCTGGGGCACAGGAGGCAAGGCCAGCTTCAAGGCAGGAGGTGAACACGCCCAGTCTGAGCTGCCTTTCGGACATCTGAACAGAGAGAGAGGTCCGTCCCCCACAATGGGGCCTGCACCTGTCAGCAAACAGATGGCGGCCAGAACTCGGAGAGCTTGGGAATTGGTGGAAGAGAGGCAAAGGGTCCGGAAGGAATGCTGTAGGACAGCGGCACTGGGGGGTTATCAGAGAAGCCCCCAGAGAACCCTCCAGATAAGCCCAACCCCAGAGGTGGCAGGTCTCACAGTACCATGTTTCCCCTCCAGGGAAAACAGTCTAAGGGTTTTAGAACCTCCTTAGCACCTCCCTGAAGGGCCCGATGCACTGACACTTTCTTCATCCAAAGGGTCCCCACTGCCCCTGGACAGCAGGCCCACTGCCGCCTGGGAAGAGACTCCAGCAAGCATCAAGGAGAGAGCCCGAGAGAGGGGAACAGATGTGAGGGGCTGGCTTGGATGAGGGCCTGGAGAAGGGAGAGCCTGACTCCGCTCACTCAACTCTCCTCACCACTCACAGGACCTGGGCCTCGAGGGGACCCTCCTCACCGACATCCTCTACAGGAATGTGGCCTTCCTCAATCTGGTGGACCCCATCTCCCACGACCTGCTTGTGAACCTGGCCCGGGACCTGCAGTGCCCCAAAACGGTGAGGCCTGTAGACACGGACCTCAGACTGGGCAACGCAGCTAACAGGGACCAGGAGCGCCCAGGGCTGGGGGCTAGGAGTCTCGTCCTCATCTGGCTTGCTCCAAGGCCTTAAGTAGGTTAATGTCCCTCACTGGGACCTAAGGCCAGGTTCAGTGTACTAGGAACACACGTGAGCTGTGCTTTTCTACTCTCCAAAAGTCGTGTGTTGGGTAGACCTGCTTCCTGGGCTCCAGGACCTGGGACCCAGACAGAACACCACACAGGGACACTGGGACATAGAATGTTCTGACAAATCTGCTGATGGAAACAAACTCCCAGCCTCTGAGCTCCTGGGGCCAGAAGAGAGCCACCTTAGGCTGGAACCCCTGTCCACATGTCCCCATCCTGTATGGATACACCTGGGGCCTCCATTCCCCTTCTCCCAAACCACCATATCCACTCCAAACCCCGCTCTGGGGGCACCTGGCAACATCCTTCCCATGAGCATCCTTCCCATGCTGTGCTCCTGACACGGCCACCACCCCTCAGTCACAGTGAGTCTCTGTGTGAAACAAGGGTGCCTGCTATGGGCACAGCCAGCTCCGGACCCCTGCATCTATACGCAGTGGTCCCCAGGGGTTCCGAGGCTAGCCAAGAGCCACACGGCGATGGGCAGGGCTTGCTGCTGCTGTGCGTACGCACTATTGACAGAGGAACGGGATGAAGAATGTGCTGGATAGCGGAGTGTGCTCAGTGCCAGCTCCACGGAAAGCAGAGCATCCCTGTTTGTCCTCCGAGCTAGGTCTCTACAAGGGCCCACCTTGGCCCAGGAGAGATCCAAGTGGTGGTACCATAACCATGAACCCTCCCAGCCCTGGCAGCCCAGACCCAGGCCCCACAGGCAGGCTTGGAGAGTGAGAGGAAGAAGAGCGTGCTGACCTGGCTGGTTCCCATTCCCTGAGGGTGGCGTCAGTGGAGCAGGGCTCCCTGGAGGGGCCCGGTCCTGCCTCCCCTGGTGACAAGTCTCCCAGGGAGCGCTGAGGGTGGGCAGGGAGCCGGCTGATAGCCCAAGACACTGGCCTTGGGCCTGAGGACAGGGAACAAGGGCCCATTGTCTGGGCTTCCTCCCGCCGGGCACTGCGGGCCTCAGGCAGCCTGTCCAGTTACCAACGGGCAGCCTCCCCTGGCTCTGGGCCAGGTTACAGCCAGGGTGGGGGGTGGACGGGGGAGGCTAATGGGCAGCTCAGCGATCCATGATGAGTCATGTGCTGGGGCACACACTTGGATCCCCAAGGCCCATGGGGGGGGGGATGGGGCTCAGCCTCACCCTGACAACACTGCCCCCCGACAGGACTATGAGCTCTGGAAGTCCTCAGATAAGATCTGCCGCCAGCTCATCTACCACCTCACCCCTCACTCCAAGCGGCAGCGAGGGTCCAGCCTGCCCCGGAGGAAGACTCAGAGCTGGTAAGGGGAGCCCAGCCACAGCCCTACCTTGTGGCCCCTTAGGGTCCCTTTCTAGGCCAACATGGAGAGGCAGCTCAGCAGGCAGCTGGGCCCTGAGCCCGTCCCCAGTGAGCCCCTCACCCTTGTCTGCATCGAAGCTCTGGAATGTTTCCCAAGCCTAGCTGCAACCCTCTGTGTGACCTGCCTCCTGCCGTTCACTTGCCCCTCAATCCCTGGCCTGTCACAGGGCCTGGCCCCGACCCCAGGGCCAAGGTGACCTCAGCAGACATCCGCTGGATCCTCTCAACAGGCTGTGAGGGGGACGGATTCTGGCTCATGATGCCGATTTCGCAGGAAAGGAAACTGAGGTTGGGAGAGGCAAGGTGGCTTGCCCAAGGCCACACCTGACCCTGATTTTCCTACAGCTCTTTGAAAAGCCTTTGCCAGGCTGCCTGAAGTGAAGGCCTCCATAGCCATCCTGAGAGCTTGCTCTGCTGTGGGTCCCCCTCCCAGTCACTCCATCACAGCTCCATGGCCAGATGCAGCCTAAGGACTGCCGGCAGACGCCCAGGTCCAGGGACCCAGAACCGCCCCCCAGTGCCCTCCCTTGCTTGCTTCCTCATCCTCGAGCCTCATGGCTCATGACGAGCCCAGAGCCCATGGGGTTGTTCCCTGCTGTGCTGAGTGAGGGCACTGGAGTTGGTCCCGCTGCCTCCCTGCATAGTAGGCCACGTTCAAATGACAAGAGAGACCCAGAGGTGGTTCCGGGGGTTGGCGGGGGACCCTTCTCGGTCTCTAAACTTCCTTTCCAGCTTAGAACACAGGGGGCCTTCACCTACCAACACCTCCCCTCTTGCTACTCTGGACCTGTCCTCCTCTAGTCCCCAAAGACGGGGGGACGAGCCTGATAGCCTGTCACCCTCATAGGAATATCTATCTTTACCCACAAAGGATCGACCTTAGAGGAGGCGTGGGAAAAAAAGGTGTGGGCTCCGGAGTCAGAGACCCTCATTTTGAAGACTTGGCTTCCCTCTTAGTGGTATGTGACCATGGAAGAGTCCCGTCACCTCTCTGAGCGTCATTCGCCCCTCTGCAGAATGGGATCATCGTTCTTACTCTAGATGTAACAGATGTGGTGACCCAGGCACGCAGTAGGTTTTTGTAATAATAACGGATTAGGGAAGCTTAACATGTGGACGTTTATTCCTCACAACAGCCAGGTCCCCTTTTCACCAAAGGAGAAACTGAGGCTCAGAGAGGTTCCAAGAATTGCCCATGGCCACCCACGTAGGAAGTAGCGGTTTGATCCCAGTGCCGCCTGACTGCAGGGCCCAGTCCCCCTACCACCTGGTGGGCTGCCCCGACGGGTCACTCTCTGCAGCCCGTGGGGACTTGCCTGGGCCGTGGACCCTTGCTCAATCCATCCTTGCCTGCCACCTTCCCACAGCCTCAAGAGCAGTCTCCAGATGACTCAGCTGGCGGGGGAGACCGTGAACCTCTCGGGGATCCCACTATCCGCACGGGACGTGCAACACATTACCCGCTACCTGCGAAGCCAGGGAGCCGGTCTTACGGTGCTGGACCTGAGCTTCACGGGGCTGAGTGATGAGCTCTTGCGCCTGCTGCTGCCCAGCCTCTGGTCACTGCCCCACCTCACCCAGCTCCTGCTCAACGGCAACAGGCTGACAAGGGCCACTGCGCGCGAGCTCACCGAGGCCATCAAGGACTCTGCCAAGTTCCCCGCGCTGGCCTGGGTGGACCTGGGCAACAACGTGGACGTGGCTTCCTTGCCCCAGCCCCTGCTGGTCGGCCTGCGCCGGCGGCTCAGCCAGCGCACCTCACTCCCTACCATCTATGAGGGCCTGGACCTTGAGCCTGAGGGTGGTGTGTCTGGGGCCAGCTCTGCTGCCTCCACCTGGGGTTCTGCAGCCACTGGGCCAGGGTCTGAGCCCCAGGCCTGCTGCACAAGGTGACCCACCACCCATCTCCCTCATGCCAATGCTCCTAGGCACGGGGGATGGGGGCGATGGAGGCCCTCCAGGCCTCCAGGGATCCAGCGTATGTGCTCGGCCTGGGATGGAGCGTCAGGCTTCCCTCAGCAGGGAGTGCCCAGCACCTGCTGGGCCCATCCTGCAGTAAATGGTGATGCCCTCCTCTGCCTCAGCCTTTCTGCATCGTGGACCTCAGGGCCACTTAGTGCCAGCCATGCTTTTGGAGTCGGGAGAAGGGGTGGCCAAAGCGTCACCTGAAAGAGAGGGACCGAGCTCACACTGACTTCCTCCAGGTGCTCCCTGGGCAGACACCCAGGTGTGAGATCGGGTCCATCTGTGGGCTGGGGAGTTAGAGGAGGCCGCCAGGGACCTGACCGTCACATCTGTGTGGGGCCTGGAGAGGAGCAAGTGGGGAGGCCACAGAGGGGCAAAGCTCAGAATAGAGCCCCACAGTAATCTTGTGCCTGAGCCCAGGACCCCCGGGGCTGGGGACAAGACTGCACTGATAGGAGGCAAGGTTCATCTCCCGCAGGTTGAGTGCTGCCCACCACCCCTAGTACCAACCCACAAGGCTCCCTCTACCTAGTGGGTAACTCTGTGGGGTTAGAAGATACCTGAGACCAGAGACAAAGAGTTTGTGTGTTCCCTCCAGGGCCTGAAGGCCCATGGGCACAGTCCTTCCCTCTGGTGGACCCCAAGAAAGCGTGCAGGAGGTGGAGGTGGGCCCAACCAGGAGCAAGAGATTGGGGGTGGAGTGTTCCTAGGGTTGCCCCAGGGGTAGCTGTTCCCAGCAGGGAGCTATCTTCCCTCCCCCCAAGGACCATCAGGGCAGGCTCCAGATCAGAGCCTAAAGCCATGGTTGCCCCACCCCGCCCCCAGTGTTGTGTGGAGGGCTGGAGTACAGCCCAGCTAGGAGTTGGGCAGGGCAAAGACAAGGAAGAAATTTAAAGAGGTCCTGGGGGAAACTGAGTCCCAGAGTGGGAAAGCCAGCGGCCCAAGTCTCCCATGCAGAGCTAGGTCAGGTCTGGGGCAGTGGGGATCCTCACAGATGAGGAGAGACCTGATGGGGGAGAGAAGGGCCCCGGGCCAAAGAGAAGGTGGGGCTCCTCCCTGGGCCTGCATACCCAGGCCCACCAACTGATCTTCCTCCACAGTTGCGCCCATGGGGGGACCATGAGTCAGCACGGATTCTAGGTCGGCCAGATATACAACAGCCTCTTGGGCCAGAAATGAGATGGCCAAGAAGGGTGAGGACGGCACGGTGCTCTGTCCTAGGACCAGGCAAGACGTGGGGAAGAAGAAAGCACCCTCTGTTGCTACCCGCCCACCCCGAGGACAGGCTCCTGCCAGCCTGCCTGCTTTTGGAGGAACCCCTATCTGGAGGTGGTGGGAAGGGTGTGAAAACACCAGGTTCAGCCCAGCTCTGCTTCTGACTTGCTGTTGGGACCTGGCCAGGGCCTCCTCTCTCCCGGCCTTGGGGTTCTCCTTTTCCCCTCTGTGTTAAATAGGGCTGGCTCTCCGTAGTCCCTTCCAGCTCTCAGTCCTCCATCCTGGGGCCCTCTCAGTCCTCCTTGTTTTAAAAACATGGGCCTGCCCATTGGCTTGGGAGCCACAGAAGTGTCTCTGGTGCCCTCACTCCAGAACAAGGGGCTCAGGCTCCCCAGAGCAAGGCAAAGAGGAATGGGAGGTGAAAGGGGCCAGCGGAGAGGAGAAAGATGGAGAAGCCAGCTTTGTACTGGGCAGGCTGATAAGTCCGTCACAGGCAAGCAGCCGTGTTCTCCTGTGATTCCTTGCTGGAGAGACGCCAAGCTCTCTGTTCCCCCCACCGCCCTCCTGCTCCCCTTGCTCCCTGCCCACCATTGGCCCCAGTCCAGCCCACAAACCTGCAACGTCGCTGCTGGGAGAGACTCCTACCAGAATGGTGTGACGACCTGAGCAGGCGAGCTCTGGGAGAATTCAGGCGGCGGCAGCTGGTCTCAATCTCCCCGCCTCTCAGACGGAGGCACGCGATGCAATAGCTGAGCTCGAGCATAAACCAGCTCAAGAGAAGAGGGTTGGCCTTGTTGCCAGGCAGGTGTCCACAGCCCCTTCTTGGGCCCTGCCGTCAGGGCCTCATGGCCACCGGCTACACTGCAGGCAGGGACACTGCAGGAGGAGGGGGCTTGTGCCTTGAAGGTTGGTGGGCAGAGAGCCCCCGCCAGGTGGGCTCCAGCCTGAGTTCCAGACCCAAGAGGCAGCAGATGGGCCTGCCCCAGGCCCAGTCTTGGAGGCAGTTAGGCTCTGCTGGTCGCAGTCCTGTCACCCATGGTGGTGTCCTCTTGGGGCCTGTTCCTTCATCTTGGGAACTAGGTGAACCAATCCCCCCGTTATCTTGATGGAGAGAGCATGACAAGGTCTGGAAAGTGCCTGCTGCATGGGGGAAGGGAGGTACAGGGCAGGCCCTCTTCAGCGTCACCGGGGCCTCCACCCTGGGCTCCCTGGCTGGGAATGGCAGGGGCCCAGACCCTCAGGACTAGGCAGAGCTGAAGCCCTTTATTTAGAGAGAGCGCTCCTGTAGCCTTTCCGTGGGCCAGGTACTGTTCTGATGGCTTCACACTCCTTGAATTCTCTTCACACTTACAGGTAAGGAGCTGACACAGGGAGAGGTTAAGTGATCCGTCCAAGGTGAAGAGCTAGAAACTGGAGGAGCCGGGGTGTGAGCCAGGAGGCCCGCCTTGTCTGTGATGCTAACACCTGCCTGATGCTGCCTGTCCCACAGCTATCCGAGGGGCTGAGGATTTGACACAGGAGACCACAGGGTTTGATGGCAGGTGTCCTGTAGTGGGAGAGACCCTCAGCCGCACTCCCCCAGCACAAGACCAATCAGGAGCTCTCTGAGCCTGTTTCTTTGCATGCAGAATGGGTGGAGAGGGGAGCGGTGAGGACCCAGGCTTTGCTCTTCTCCAGGATTGAAAGGGACAGATGGGGAGTGGGTTCTGAAGTACTCAAAGGGCTGAATGAAGCCTAGCCCTGTACTCGGGGGCGGGGGTGGGGGGTGGCATGTAGTATCGACTCCCACTTCTGAAAGTCTGCCTGGGACAACTGTAGGTGCCTTCCCCTCCCTGGGCATCAGCCTCCTCAAGTCTAAACCTGCCTTGCCAGGATGTTCAGAGCATCAAAGGGAGACATGTAGGTAAGACACCTGTGCTCCACAGGACCTCTGTGACCAACACTTGGGAACTTCTTTTCTGTCCCGGAAGGGAGAATATTTGAGCCCAGATAAGGTGCATCTGATATGAGTTTACAGCAAATATCAGCCTCTGCTGAGTCTTCATCTTAAAAATCCAAAATCTCTGGCAGCTGAACCCAGTGGTTGATATCAGCCTAGCTCAGAGGTTTTTCTCTGGGTTCTGGAAGGAGAGGAAGACACACTTCCTCCTCTCTCTTAGGGATAGTTGCCAATCATCAGTGAAAACCAGTATTTCCTTTCCCAACTGTATACTTCAATTTTAATTTCTTAAAACTGTATTTTTAATTTTTAATTTTTTAAAGAGACCTTATGTATTTATTTGTCAGAGAGAGCGAGTGCACAAGCAGAGGGAGCGGCAGGCAGAGAGAGATGCAGCCTCCCCGCTGATCAGGGAGCCTGTTGGGGGACTCGATGCCAGGGCCCCAGGATCATGACCTGAGCCGAAAGCAGCCACTGAACCCCCTGGGCTACCCAGGCAGTCCCTATTTTTTAATTTTTTTAAAAAGATTTATTTATTTCGAGAGAGAGAGAGAGAGAGAGCGCACATGCATGTGAGTGTGGGAGGGGCAGAAGGAGACAGAGAGAATCTCAAGCCTACTTGGAGCTGAGCACGGAATCTGACTCTGGGCTCAGTATCAGGACCCTGAAATCATGACCAGAGCCAAAATCAAGAGTCGGGCGCTTAACCGACCAAGCCACCCAGGTGTCCCCAAAACTGTATTGTATTTTTAAATGATCCTTCATTGCAGTACAACTGAAATCTAATAAAGTGGACATAATAAGCGTGACAATATTTTGGGGGAATTTATTTATTATTTTAAATTTTTTAGAGAGAGAGAGAACGTGTGCCTGTGCGTGTGTGCTTGCTTGCGTGGCACGTGGGAGGGGGGCAGAGGGAGAGACTCTTCAAGCAGACGCCCCGCTGAGCGCAGAGCCCTAAAGGGGCTCAATCTCCATTTCATGACCCATGAGATCATGACCTGAGTGGAAACCAAGAGTCAGGACACTTAAGCAACTGAACCAGCCAGGTGCCCCAACAAGTATTACAATTAAAAGTGTACAGTATGGTACACTTTGACTTCCATGAAACCACCACTGCAATCAAGACAGTGAAGATGTCTGTCATTTCCCAAAGTTTCCTTGTGCCCCTTGACAATGAATCCTTCCTATCCCTCCCTGCCCATTCCCTCCCCAGCAGGAGTGACTTTGACCTGCTTGCTCTCCTGTTAGATTAGTTTCCATTTTCTAGAGGGTTTTGTGGGTTTTTTGCTGTTGTTGTTGTTGTTTTGGTTTATTTATACTTTTAGTAATCTCCACGCCTAATGTGGGGCTTGAACTCACAATCCCCGAGATCAAGAGTCACACAGTCTTTCAACTGAGCCAGCTAGACACCTCTATAGTTTTAGATATATGGAAGTTTAGAAATGTGGTCTAATACGGGGTGTATTCTTTTATCTTTCATTCAGTGTAATTATTTTAAGACTCGCATGATGTTATATATGCCAGTAGTTCCTCTTAATCGTATTTTATTGGATGGACGTACCACCATTGGGTTGTTCCCAGTGTTTAGCAATTACAAATAAAGCTGCTATGAATATTCACGTACAAGGTTTTGCATGAACATATATTTCCTTTTCTCTTGGGTAGTAGTATCTCACTATGGTTTTCTTTTCTTTTTTTTTTTTCTAAAGATTTTGTTTATTTATTTGACAGATCACGAGTAGGCAGAGAGAGGCAGGTGGGGCTGGGGGGTGGGCGGGGAGAACAGGCTCCCCGCTGAGCAGAGAGCCCGATGCGGGGCTCGATCCCAGTACCCTGAGATCATGACCAGAGCCGAAGGCAGAGGCTAAATGCATTGAGCCACCCAGGCACCCCTCACTATGGTTTTCTTTTCTTGTAATATCTTTGCCTGCCTGGTTTTGCTTATCAGGGTAATGCTGGTCTCGTAGAATGAGTTAAGTTATTCCCTTCAATTTTTTACGAAGAGTTTATGGAGAATTGGTATTATTTCTTCCTTAAATATTTTGGTAAAATTTCTCAGTGAAGCCACATGGGTCTGGAGTTCTCTTTGTAGATGGTTTTCAACTACAATTCCAGTTTCCTTAATAGATCTAAGACTATTCACGTTAGTTACTTCTTGAGTAAGTATTAGTACTTTGGATCTTTTAAGGAATTTGTCCATTTCATCTGAGTTATTGAATTTATTGGCATAAAATTTTTCATGATATTCCCTTTCTATATCTGTAAAATCTGTAGTAGTCATCTCTCTCATTCCCAAGACTGGTAATTGTGTCTTTTTTTTTTTTTTTCCTCATCAGTCTGACTA